AATATTTATATTTAAGATAATTATTTTTAAAAACTTAATTTTAAAATGTATTTAAAATTAAATTTCTCTCCCCCCCGCCTTTGATTAGAGGACAACTTTCCAGAGTTGATTCTTTCCTTCTACCATGTTGGTCCACGGGATTGATCTGAGGTTGTCAGGCTTTGTGGCAGGCATCTTTATCCACCGAACCATCTCAACCACTCTAAAAATACTGTCTTGTTAGAGGCAGGTGGATCTCTGTGAATTCAAGGCCTGCCTGGTCCATTATAGTGAGATACAGGTTAGCTGGGGCTACAGGGAGACCCTGTCTCAAAAAGACAAAAACAAAAACAACAAAAAAAAACTGTCTTGTTTTTTGCTTTTTTAATTGAAACACATTGTGAAAGGAATTAAAGGCTCTGCTGATGACTGAAATGTTAATTATATTGTCTTTTTCCAGGCTTCTAGAGGAGGAAGCTTGTATGTTATATTTGTTGTACGTATTTTCTCCATCAATAGTAACCGAGGACTATTAACCAATATCAGGGAATGGTAGCATTCTTCACACCAACCTCTTCCTTACTCTAAACCCTATGGCAGGGCTTATTAAGCCTTTTATCCAGTCCCTGGGCCTGCAGAGCATTAGACCCATGCCTTCTTCACCCACTCTGCCTCTCAGAGCCTCCACATGCAGAGACCCCATTCTGCCCTTTACTAATAAGCTTTCATTTCTTTAGGAAATTGCTGTCCTTTCAAGTCAAAACAACTCTACATGATTGCTTCTTGCATTTCAATTTGCAGAGGGATATTTTGTATAAAGCACTTCTGCCTCTCTGGAGTGAAAGAGAACCAATTAGCTACAGCCGAAGAGAGTAAATCACTCTGGAATCGGTGTGATTTCAGCCTGACTGCATGTGACAGTGGCAGTGGCAGCTGATCCTGTCACTGGTAAGGCTGACCTGGTAATGCTCAGTAGAGAGCTTCAGGAAGACGTGTGGGAGGAAAGGGGTTGCCTGGTGCTGTTGAAATTTGGAGGATGGCCATGAAGAAAACGCAAGTCTTATGACCTTCATATTCTGGGTACAGTACTCTTGCTCAACACGCTGACCTTGAGCAAGTCTTAAAAACAAGAGGATTTGACAAGATTGTATCTGAGTTCTTGAATTCTGATTGCTTACAAAGAAGGGTGTGAGACAGGAGAGCTCTTATGTTTGCAGGGAATGGAAATCCCCAATTGTCAAGCTGCTCAGGGTAGGGATTTGGCAGCTGAGGGAAGTTATCCTCCTTTTGAGGGGATTTAATCATCAAGAGGCCTTTCTTTCCTGAACACTGTCAGAAAACCACTCTAGTCAGAGAGCACAAAGGTCTAAGGCCACAGGCATTAGAAAAGCTCTAGATCAGGCCTCATTTCTGAGACTTATTGAGGAAAAACAGGTATTTCTCTGAGAGTATGTTGCAGGGCAGAACCCATGCCTGGCCTTTTGTCCACATGAAAATGGCTTTCAGAGTAACACAAATAATCATGTTTCAGTTAGTAGCCGAGGAAAGAAACAAGGACATAATATAAGGGGCCAGTAAGATGGCTCAGTGGGTAGGTGCTTAGTGCCTAGCCTGGTGACCTGAGTTCAATTCCCAGAACCCACACAGTAAAAGAAGAGAACAGACTGCCATAAATTGTCCCCCATCTACACATGGCCCCCTGCAAAGGACATAATTTAATAGTATGTCGAATGTACTTCACATTATAATTTAAAAATTGTGGATTATTTCTCATGTTCTCAGATAATGAACCCACATTGTGAGGTTCCTCCATCAGTGTTCAGTACTTTCCAAAAGCTGTGCCTTCACAGAGCACTCAGTTGCCTTCCAAGAGCTGGTAAACAGAGCCTCTCCTCTCAATGCATCCCTGGGGTGAGGACTAGAAAGCTTTTAAAGCTGGGAAAACCCCTCATTTCAATTTCCCCATTTCATAGATGGAGAAACACACACTGAGACACTAAGGGATTTGCTCAAGTCTCTTAGCTGTTTATGTTTGGGATAGACACTGAACCCTGGTTCTTCCACATTACACTGATCAGTGTTGGGTGGGATTACCATAGAAAGTCTCAATTAATGGTTGCCCAGAGGAAAAAGTATGATAACTGTGTCAGTGAATCGTTGCTCTACTCCACTGCCATGGGAACTGGTTCTGATCAGTGATTTTCAAGGACAGGAAGAAACTACGTACAGCTTTGGCTTGCTGCCTCGGCTTAATTTTGCTCATCATTTATTTTGAATTTCAACTATAGTAAAAGAGAGCAGGGGGATTTTATGTTTACTGAGGACGGTTGTACCTGTAAAGGGACTCATGTGCTACTTTCTGAAAGTTCTTCCCAATACTTTGTTCCTATGGATTAAAACTACCATTTACTTGCTGATCTTTTCTAGTCAAAATAAGCTAAAATGGATGAACTTAGGATTTTAAATGAGCAGATAAATAGGAATATGTTTCTTACGCATGCCTTTAATCCCAGCACTCGGGAGGCAGAGGCAGGCAGATCTCTGTGAGTTAAAGGCCAGCCTGGTCTACATAGTTCCAGGACAGCTGGGGCTACAGGGAGACCCCATCTCAAAAAGACAAAAAATTATTTATTTTTAGTTTGTGTGTATGAGTATTTTGCTTGCATGTGTGTAGTAAGTACACCCATGCATGCAATGCCCATGGAGGCCAGAAGAGGGTGTTAGGTCCCCTGGACCTGGAGTGAGGAAGTTAGCTGCCATGCCAGTGCTAGGGACGAACCCAGGCACTCTGCAAGAACAGCCAGTGCTCTTAAGAGCTGAGCCATCTCTCCAGGGGGGAATCAGTTTCTTTTCTTTTTTTTTTTTTCCTTCTTTCAGGGAATCAGTTTTTTATTGACATTCAAGACAAAGAATTATAAGTAGAAACAATATATCAAGTGATATCTAATAACTGATGAATGGATAAACAAAATGTGGTATATCTATACAGTGGAACTTTATTTAGTCACAAAAAGAACAAAGTACAGATACATACTACATCATTAAACCCCGAAAGAAGCCAGACACAAAAGGTCACATATATACTCCTATTTATTGGAATGTTCAGAATTGACGATTTCTTAGATAGAAAGTAGATTAGTGCTGTCTCTTACAAGAGCTCATGTGACAAGTGAGACTGGGAATGGGTATGGGGGCTCATTATTATTATTATTATTATTACTATTATTATTTATGTGTATGTGTGTATTACCTACATGTAGGTAAGTGCATCCGTGTCATGCAATGCCCGCATTGGTCAGAAGAGGCTGTCAGATCCCCTGGGACTGGAGTTATGGACAGTTGCTGTCATGTGGGTGCTGGGATTTGAACCTGGGTCTTCTGCAAGAACAACCAATGTTTTTAACTGCTGTGGGGGCTCATTTTTAATGAAGAAAACATTTTGGAATTAGAGAGTGGTTAATAGTTGTACAACATTGTCTGAGCATGCTACATGCTGAAATGTACACTTTAAAACCGCACATACAAAAATGAACTTATGTGATGTCCATTTTACCATAAGTAAAAAGAAAAGAAAGGAATTGCATCAGTGGGCCCTCAGCATGCCAACTCTTCCAGTGTGTCTATGGTTTGTGAACTGCACTAGGCTTTGGGCTAAAAGGGCAACCTTTTTGGGGCAACTAATGGTTTCTGTTGTTTCAGGTGATATATACAGTGTTTGAGGGAGGGACTGGAGGGCCAGTGTTTATGAATGAATAATCAGGATTCCCGTTCCTTCTACAATGCCCTGGAGGGCTATATACAAGACTCCACATTGTTAAGATGAAAAATCTTGGAAGGTCTTATACTTTTTTTTTTTTTTTTTTTTTTTTTTTTTTAATGTTACTGTTTTTGGCTCTGACTTAAGAGCAGTGTCCGGTAGAAAAGTCTAGATTGGTTGAAAATGGAAAGGGTTAGGTGAGTCTTTAATTTATGGGGACTGCAGGTAACCATGTAGGCAGGTGAGAGGAACACAGAGTCTTGCAGCTCTGTGGCTGGCTTGGTAGGACCCTTCTCTCTCCTCTGATTCTGAGTCCTGGAGCCCATTAGGGCCCATCCCCCACTTATACACAGAAGATTTGTATTTTGTTCCTGAGCGTAACTTCTTGATAATTCTTGCACATTTAGTCAACTGTGAGAGACGTTTGCTTTCAGTGTCAAGGCTACTTGTGACAGGTTATTCATCTGTGCTCTGAACTAAGGTGTAAGAAAAAAATCGGCTGAACATATATTTTGTGGCATGATTTTAATAGTCTTATGTCTCTCTCTCTCTCTCTCTCTCTCTCTCTCTCTCACACACACACAATGGCTGTTCTTGCTCTAGAAGCTCTGATTTTTCTCAAGATATAAAAAATTATATTGGCTGTTATTTGCCACATTATAAAAACCTCTCAAAATTGGGTGATCTTCTAAAAGAATACCTATTTTTAGTTAAAAATATGATACATCCAAGCAAAACAGTTATTTTAAACAAAGAAGACGTGAAGTTTTTTTCATGGAATTGGGTGGGAGGGATTCACTTTAGTTCAGGGATAGTGTGGATTTGAAGAATAAGAGCCAGAATTCTTCCCCTAGGAATAGGGATCTTACTGGTAAACTAGAGGTGCCTTAGAAGTGAAATTCAACATAGATATGGAAACTTCTCAGGGAAATACCTTCACATTGCTCTTAATCTTATGCAAGTTCAGGAATATTGTTACATTGACTGAATTTGCTTTTTCAGTCAATTCTAAAATGGTTTTGAAAAATATTTTCTTATCTGTTTCTGATAGAACTCTCACTAGAATACTTTTTAAAGAGATCCTTGATTCATTTGGAATTGTGAGTGACACTTTGCTTCTCATTTTTAAAACCTAAGAAAAGATTTCTGACAAAATTTAAACTGCCCTATAGAAGCCAGCATACTATACAGTAATGATCCATTGGTATATAATAAATAACCACTTTAAAAATGATTACTAACATAAAGACCAACACAAATATGGTAGATTCTATTTTCTAAAGAAATATATCTTTATTGACTTTTTTCCATTTTCTTACAAAGCAGTTAAAAAATCCTTATTCTTTCTCTTGCATATATTCAATGTTAAGACAGCCGCTTACTCCTGAGATGGTCTTGGAGCTGTGTGTTTCTCTACGCACCACAGAACAGCATCATTGCTTGGTCCCATTTTTACAGGAAAGAATCCACATTTTACCAGATAATATATGCATAGCTCTCTTCAGAAAGGCCATTTGGTGGATTAATGTCTAATTTACACACAGTAATAAAGATAAACTTTGAATCTTTACAGATTAAATGCCCACTTTATACCATAGTGTAATTGTTTGAATTGTGGGTGAGTGTACAGAATATAGATGTAGATGTACTAAATATATCTATAAATAAAATGGTGCTTTAAGGTGACAGTATTCTTTGGCCAATTGAAATGCCTGTGGACTCTTATCAGAGGCTAAAATGAAAATGGTCCCACTATTATTGTCAACCTTAGCACCGAGCTTGTGCGGAAGGTCCCTATACTGCTGACAGTCAGCATCTCGAGGTCCACGATGTATTCTCTTGGTCCTGATAGCGACTTCACAAGCACAAGCATTGCACTCACAGGACTTGTTTGCTAAAATAAAGAGAAAAGAGGGTGGAGGGAATAATGTTCCTTGGACTTCAGTATCCATTGTTTTCATACCTCCTATAAGAAGCAGGGGACGTAAGGGGCTACAAGAACCACTTCTTGGTCCCTTCTTTGTTCTAACTCTTTCATTCCCAACCCTTGTCCACCCATCTTCACTAGTTCCAAGGGAAGGGTTTGCTTTTCCAAATTATTTTTCTTCCCCCCATTAACATTTGTTAACATTATTAATATTTGTTGATATTTCAAATAGTTTTTTTTGTTAATATTTCTCTGCCTGTGTATTAAATAGTTCCAGCCTTTCTAAAGAGTTCAAATGAGACTTTTGAACTGGTAAAGAAAGCTGTCACTTGCCATTTTCCTTAACATTCACATATTCTAGTGAATAAAGTTCAGTAAATAGTTAATTCAGAACTGTACATGGAGTGGGCTTTAGAGAGTGAAGACAGAGGAGTTTGAGGGGGGCAGTAACAGAATGAATGAGTCTGAATGCAAAGGTTGGGTGAAGATTTAACAATCAGCTGGATTTGGTAGTGCACAGATTTAATCCCAGCACTTGTGATCAGCCTGGTCTACACAGTGAGTTCTAGGCCAGCTGGGGCTACAAGGAGACCCTGTCTCAAAAAAAAAAAAAAGATTTAGTAGTTACTGTATTGGGTATCAAATTCCTTAGGAGAGTCACCAGATGTAGATGTGGTAAGAGCGGAACACATAAATAGCCAGCAGTGCCCAACAGAGCCAAGGAGAATGGGATATTGGAATTGAAAAGTGTCTCTTGATTTAACATTGTGGATGCCATTGGTGGCTTTTTTTTTTAACCACAAAAACTTCAGTAAAGTAGTGGGAATGAAAGACAGAGCAGTGGTCAAGAAGTGAGGAAACAGAAGATCCTGGTCTACCAAGAGAGACAGGATAAAATCTAGAGGGTAAACAAGTTGAAAATGTAGGAGTAGAGGGGCGTCTGATGGAATAGGATTCCAGAGATGGGATGAGTAGTAGAAGGTGCTGGGTTAGTCTTGACTAATCGACATGAATATCTGGGCAGGTGGAGGACAGAGATAAGTTTGCAGGGGGATGGAATAAATAAGAATATTATTAAAAATACTTTGGGGTACTTGTTACAGGCCAGGCATAAAGAAGACACAGGTACAATCTGTGTTATCACTATGATGATACAGCCAAGTGAATACCATGCCAGATGGTGACAAGTCTTTAATAAAAATGAGGCTCAGCAAAGTGCTGATACTGGGGGCAAATGACGCTCTACCTTCAGTTTCATACTCAAGTTCTTTACCATGTGCCCCATTTTCTAAAGACGGTTTCCTCACTGTCCATCCAAAAGGAATGTAAGTAAGATTTGGTATCTCATATAATCTTTAAAAGATCAGGTCAACTCATAACTATAAAGAAACATTTTAAAACTATATTTTGATGTCTTTGGGCCAGAGAATTACACACTAAATTGGACCATTCTTTTTCGACAAACTCTCACTTTTGCTGCATGGTAAAATATGCGGTGCATGTCTTGTTAGTGTCTCACACAACATGAGGCAGAGAACATAGAAGGTATTTAACCAAGGCCTTGAGGTTCATCCTCATGTGCTAAATGTGGTTCAGAAATGGAATTTCAATGTGAAATTTTGTGACTTGATTTCAATTGTGTGATAAGAAGTATTCTTATAGCATTTATTTTGTATTATTTAAAATTATCATTATTGTTATTTTTATTAATTATAATTTGAGGCAAGCTCTTACTCTGAATTTAAGATTGGCCTTGAACTCCCTATATTACCCATATAACTCCCTATATTACCCATAATACTCAGGCTAGCCTCAAACTTTCAATCCTCCTCCTCCACCTAAGTGCTAGGATTACAGGTATGTACCTCCATGTTTTTGTTTTAATTTAAAATAATTTAAAATTATTCAACACTAGAATTATCAAGATTGGTAGTGTTTCATATAATTCATGAATAAGGGGTTTCGTTCAAGAACGGTGTTATTCTTTAAAAACCAAATCAATATAAGCAGATGAAGCCATGTTTACTGCAGAGGAAAAAAAAACCACGCTGGGGCTTCATCTAACCACGTGATGACTAGGCTAAGGAATTTTATCTTCTTTTTTAAAAAATATTTTATTTATTATTTTTATTTTATGTGTATGAGTGTATTGTCTACATGTGTGTAAGTGTACTTGTGTCATGCAATGTCCATGGAGGTCAGAAGAAAGCAACAGATCCCCTGGAACTGGAGTTATGGATGGTTGTTAGCCACCATGTGGGTGCTGGGAATCAAACCCAGGTCCTCTGCAAGAGTAGACAGTGCTCTTAACTGCTGAGCCATCTCTCCAGGCCTGGAATTGTATCTTCTTAAATGATGGCTAAAAGTTCAAAACTATCCTACTACCATGCAATTACAGCTGGTGTTATCTGCGTGGTTTCTAATTTTTAATGGGCATCTGAACTGTGTAAAACTCATTTAGTGGAAACTTCTTACAAATACCTTGTATATCTCAAGTTTAAAACATCAAATGTTAAAGAGGTTTATTCTTTCACAGTAGAAAAAACAAAAATAACTGACTATTTTGAGTTGAGTTTTTCTCTTCAGAAGTTGGTTATGAGGAATTAATCATTTCTAATTTACTGGCAAAGAAATGGAATCATGTTACTCTAGAGCTTGAAGGAAGTTATAGATCAAAGAACAGAATAAATGTGTAAACATTGCAAATCTGTAAACTTTACCGCAAGGGTGAATTTCCCAATTTAATAGTCTCAAAATGAAATATTGACTTTAAAGTTTGATTGAAAACAAAGAGTTCCCAAAGGAGTTCCGAGAAAACTGTGACTGGATGGAGAACATACTTGGTGTGAAATACTTAGGGTAACCCTGCAAACTGCCTGCTGGGGTAGCATTGACTTCACATGAACTGGTGAGCTGTACTTAACATGTGTCAGAATTTTAACCCCAAACTCCCAGCTGGGATTTTGCAGGGGAGACTGCAGCCCTGAAGTCAGGGAGATCAGCTTGGAGACTCTGGAGAGGGGAGAGAAGTGACAGGAGTTGTTTAAAGGGGGAGAGTGTGGGAAACAAGGATAGTCCAGTGTGAAGAGAGAAGAGGCAGTTCAGTAATTGGATTTCACAGGGGCAATGGAGGATGGGGCTGTGATCAGCTCACACTGCTGAAGCCTGCACAAAGGCTATGACTACAGACACACACCATGTATGGCAGTGGGTCCCCTTTCAGAACTGATAGATTTTGTTTTAGTGCAAATGTAAACTGTCTTGTGAATATAGCAGTAAGACATTAATGATTTTTTTAAAAGGCTCTCAGAATGCTTTCCTATGTGCAATTAAACATCACATATCTGTGATACTTATTTGGGGTATGTGTGTGTATGCACATGTGGGGTGTGCTTGTGTTTTGGGGAGTCATACATAGCTTTATTAGAGTCTATAGCTTGGAATCTGGGTAGCTTTGGGGAGACTACTTAATCTCTTCAAATCTCACTTTTCTGTTAAAAACAGGGATTGATTTTAATATTTACCTGCGAGTGTTATCAGAGGATTAAATGAAATACTATACCCCAGAAGACCATGTCCAATGCCTGCACATACACTTTGTTTTAGCTGACCTCCCAGGCGAGCCCTACACAAGAACAAGCTTCCACCTTCCTCAACAGCTAATGCTGCCCCTGGACACTTACTCTTAGGTAGAACTCTCCATTTTCATTTCCAGATTTAATCCGAAAAGTGTTGATGGTGTTGGCATAAATAGTCGTGGCTTGTATCTGGAAGATGTCTGATGGCACAGACCTGTCAGATCGGATGCTCATGTATTTGTAGACTATGGACTGGGGCAGTTCTCGGCACATAGCATTTGAGACTGGGCAAACACATCGGCTGCAGAGACAAACAAAAAGGTGGTCACCAGTTTGGCCTGAAGACCAGAAAATCCTCACTTTGAAAGCTCTGATGTTTCTTACTTCTCTGATGTTAGAATGTAGGGATCTTGACAAGGGTTTCGTGGGTAACAACGGAAGCCACCATGATAATTCCAACACATCTCATCTTCTCGGCACTCATTGGTGGTCTCACATTCATTGATATCTGCAGAGTCACAGGGTTAAAGAGTTTACTGACCTAAGAAAATTGTATGAGAGGCAGGTAGATTCGGGTTTGTAAGGAAGGACACAGGAGGGAATCTGGACTGTGTTCACAGTTTCCTTTTATTTCTTTATTTCTCTTTGGGGTGGGTGGCAGGGTTTGGCTATGTAGAGCAGGCTGGCTGGTCTGAAACTCACCATGTAGTTAAGGCTGGCTCTGAGCCCTAGCCCTCCTGCAGGAGCTTCCCAGGAGCTGGGATTACATGTTATACCACCTCTCCTGGCTTGTTCAGTCTGCTCTTAGACACAGGACTGGGTGGGGCCCTAGTTTATTGCATTAAAATCAGGATAGACATGGCTGAACCATTATGGAAAGACTAATACATGATATTTATCAAGCACCAATTATTCAATCTGTTGAATTCAATGTCAGAAGCCAACTACTGACCTTGTGTATATGAAAGTAAACAAAACAAAATTTTCATCTCCTGCCACAAGGAGATGAAAACCTGGTTGAGAAAACAGATGTGGCAACAAATACTGTGAAGTAAAACGCAATTAAGAGACAGGTAAGTGTCCTACGAGATCTGAAGTACCGCTGATTGCGTGTGGAGGGTTAGGGACGGCTGAAGGAAGGAGTAGGCATCTCAAATGGGCCTTCAAGGATGCTCGTTAGATGAAGTTTTCATGCCTAAAGGAGAAAATGCTTTCCAGGATGAGAAACTAGCAATCAAAAACCACACAGAGAGAGCAGCTTGTTGGCTGTCTCAGGAGCCTGGGAGACAGAGAAGCTGGGAAAGTGGCTTCAACAAGCACTAGCGTGCAAGGGACATGTGATGCTCTGGGAGGGGGTTGTGCTCTCTGGAGGATGCTCAGAGGCCTGCTATGAAGTGGTCTAGTGTGTAGAGCAAGGGTATTTTAGGACCATGTGGAAAATAAGGGACTGTTATTATGGGAAACAAAGGCAGTGAGTGTAAAAGCAGCCAGATGAGGAAAGATCCTAGAAGGACAGCAGGCTGTGGTTAGACCAGGCTAGACAGGGACTAATTTTAGAGTTGTCTAGTAGGATCCCCCAGATGACATTTGAAGGCATAGTTTACTACCAAGCCATACTCTTACATCAACAGCAATGATTAAATTAATATCCATATCCCCATGTAAATTCCCTTTCCTTTCCACATGAGTATTGGTTTACAGTTTATATACCTTCCCTACAAGTGGATATTTTCATTCTTTAATTTACCTTTCCCTAAGTAATTTACCAAATCCTGCTTCAAGTCAGCTATGGGCTTAATCCGGGATATGATCTATCTTGAGGTTTTTTTTTTTTTTTTTGTGTGTGTGTGTGTGTGTGTGTTTGAGACAGGGTCTCCCTGTAGCCCCAGCTGTTCTAAAACTCATTATGTAGACCAGGCTGGCCTTGAACTCACAGAGCTCCGCCTGCCTCTGCCTCCGGAGTGCTGGGATTAAAGGTGCATGCCACCATGCCTGGCCTCTTTTGAGTTTTCATACCTGGTATTCTCCTGCTGAGACCTTTATTTAACGGTAATAAAATCTCTGAGTTTATGTAATTCCTACCAGTTTATAAACTCCTTGTAAACTCCAAGGGCTACTGTAGCCTCTGCTTTGTCTTTCTGGTACCCAGTATCGAAGCACTGGAGCACTTGGCTTCAATGACTTTTAAGTTAATGAAACTGTTTCTCACACAGACTAGAGATAGCTGAGGAAGCTATCCCCATTGGACAGAAAAACAGGGGCGAAGGGGCTACTTTGAGTTCATAAAATGACAGGGATTGTTGCACTGCAAGGTACTCTAAACAAGCATCATTCTGCCCGATGTGGTGGTGCACGCCTTTAGTCCCAGCACTCGGGAGGCACAGGTAGGTGAATCTCTGTGAATTCAAGGCCAGCCTGTCTACAGAGTGAGTTCCAGGCCAACTGGGGCTACAGGAAGACCCTATCTCACAAAGACCAAAGAAATAAAATAAAACAAGCATCATTCTATGCCTTGTCTTTGGAGAAAATTCTTTATAAAAAATATTGTTTTATATGTGAGTGTACTGCTTGCATGTGTGTAAGTGCACCTGTGTCCTGCAATGCCTGAGGAGGTCAGAAAAGGTTATTAGATCGCTTGGAACTGGAGTTACAGGTGGTTGTTAGCCACCATGTGGGTGCTTGGAACTAAACCCAAATCCTCTATAAGAGTAGCCAGTGCTCTTAACCTCTGAACTATCTCTCCAGCCCCTGAAAAACAATTCTTTTAGTTTCCAACAGGCTAAAGTTCTCTGAAAATCTAGGAGGAAACTGGAAAAGCTACAGTTTCCAAGAAGCAGTTGTAAGAATCTTCTTGGTTTGACTATAATTGAAGTAGTAAGACCTAGATTTGGAAGTCAAATTAACTTGCCCTTTCGATATTTTTACCTAAAGCTAAAGATGGCGATCGGCTATAAGGAAAACTAAGACTGATTTGTGATATTGAGGCCAGAAAGAAATTTGAGACTATAACTTAATTTCTTTTTACTTTCAGCAGTTTGGGAGATAGCATTGTCAACAGCTTAATCATTCGGGAGACTTTTTCGGAAGGTAACAATGTTCAAACATCCGATAATGTTTGTCTGTGTATATATCTGTTGCTCTCCACCCCTACACACATGCACAGTGTTTTCATTTTGTGCAAGTGGAAATGAGAACATTTATTTCATACCCTAAATAGGCTTCATGGAAGAAGGTACGGATCCAAACATGTTTGATTTTACTTTGTTCTTATAAATGATACTCTGGAGAGGTGGTTTCAGTAGAGGAAAAAATGCTTTAAATGTTAAAAGAATGTAAGTCTATTCGACAAAAAAAATGTTTGGGCATAACCAAATATTCTGAAGCTGTGTATTTTCAACATAATGGCACTCATGAACTCCTACTTGCAAATTCAGTGCTTTTCTACCTTTAATTGTCCCAGAAATAAGTATTCCTGAAGATGTAGTCTGGGCAAATAAGATCCTTCTACATATTAATCTGAATCTATCTTTGCTGAGCATCAAATACAGTTGTGATCAGAAACACACAGAATTTGTTTGACTGACTCCAGGGAAACTGGTTAAATATTCTATTGGCTGACATTTCTCTGCATGTAATATTCACGTTAAAAGTCCCAATTAGGGTTCAGAAAAGACCACTGGAATGTAATGTCTTCCCACAATTAACATTTACAGAGTTTATAACTTGGGAAAGGTTATAAAGATGTTCATTATGCAGAGGATGACATTGTGATTATACTTGTGCCCAGTGGCTAGAATGTGTCTGCATACTACAAAATCCCATGTCACGGATGTCCTCTGAGTGCCTACTTCCCTGTGCCATCATGATAGAGACTAAGATTCCTTGTGCCCCTGAACTTGTCCTTTTTTAAACAAGATCTTTCCTGTCCTTGCGTATACTCTTTATAATTCCATGTAAAATGAACTTTCCAGAGATTGACTATTAGTCATTTACCTTACTAAGTAAATTTCATTAAAACACTTTGGCTTGTGAGAATCATTTGTGCATGTTATTTTGTTTATTTCCCACATTTTCCTTTTTCCAAAGAGAAAGTAGAGGCTTAGAGAAGTCTAATGATTTGTTCAAGATTGTACAAACAGAATGCAGTAGAGTTAGATTCAAGAAGGTTTTCTGGCTCCAAGTTCAGTCATTTTTTGTTCAGTTTTTCACTGTGTTGTGTAAATGTGTTTGTATTACCTTTTCCACCCTTTCTGGAATTATCTACATTTTTTCCCTTATCTTCCAATCTTTGTCCCACTGAAGAAAATTTACATTTCATGCAGCGTTGGAGGTTGGGGGAAGAGGGTTACTATTTTCCATTCTTTTTCCCAGACTCTGAATCACATCACTGAATAGAAGTGCTGCTTCTGTCTATGTGAAGGTGTGAGGACCACCTAAGCATTTATTTTGAAATTAGGCTGAAGGTCGTTAGCTATTACTGCATCAATACTTGTTTTCTGAGTAGTTCAAGCACATTGTAATATCGATTAGGATAAGTTTGTTTTTTTTTTCTCAGCACCTAAAATGCTACCTAATTTGGCTGGGAGTGATGACATATGATTGTAATCCCAGCATTTGGGAGGCAGAGACAGGAGGACTACAAGTTTGAGGCCAACCTGGGCTCTATAGTGAAAACCTATGTCACTCGTCTACATAATTCATAATTTTGTTGTTTTAGAGACTTGAGACTAGTTTAAGGTATGTCTAATCCACAGAGTAAGATCAGGCTTTAAACTCAAACTCAAGGTAAAACACTTTAGTAATTGAATCTTTTTGGTAGATGATTGGAAGTTGGAATCTCACAGATATTAGATAGACCATTTAGAAGAGATATTAATATTTTATTTAAATCCTTTACATTTTCAAAAAAGAAATGTTTCTGAAAACTTTGAAGAAAGTCAAGTTTAACACTGAATCTTGCTTTCCTGAAATGTGCACCTATTATCTCAGGAATCAAGGCTTCAAATATATATTCAAGGTGGGAAAAATTCAAGACTATGGTAGAGAATTCTGTAATTTCCTTGTCCAACACTGAGCACTTCACATGTATGAAAATGAGGAACTCACCCTGACAGGTTCTGCTTCTTACTACTTGGTATCCCTGAGGACACATACATGAGAACTTCCCAGGTTCATTGACACACTGATATTGACACAGGTAGCTTGAAGTTCTGCATTCATCAATGTCTACAGAATCAGACAAGAGCAAGGACACAGCTGAAAAACCTTCCTGCCATTAGTTTCATGAATTTTTTTAGATGAGCTAAAGAGAGTAAAAACAATGCAAAGCCTAAAACAGAAGAAATACAAGGCTTTATCAAAACTCAAAGGCTAATTCCAACAGCATCAGTCCATTCCCCACTCTGCCAGCCCCGAGTTTTCTTACCATCAGTTTCACTGAGTCACAGCTGACAGCATGGGAGCTCAGCTAACCAGATAAAGTGAGTTGGCTCATGATTGACACTCTTCACTGTGGACTCTGCAGACCCACCAAGGAAGCAGATTTATGTTTGCCTGCTCAGCCATTGTGTGACTCTGTGGCTGAATTCAACTGAACTCTGAGCTTTGGGTTCCACCCCGTGCCTTTTCCCAGAGGTGACATCTTGGTAAGCTGTGTCCTTCAGGGGGAGAATCCTTTACATTTGGGAGTTGGGACAGCCCTACAGATTGTTCGGAAGGGCAGGGACAGCTGTCCTGAGCCAGTCCCTTATAGTTCTGAACACACTGGCATAACTTGAGGCCTCTTTGGATGGGTTATGATATATGTGGCCCCAAATAAGTATAGACAGGATCATGAGGAAAGTGGGAACATTAAATGTTGATGGTACCCTGTTCATGATGTTTTAAGTCTCTTGAATTACCCAGGATGTGCATGTCCAGTGGACTCTGAGTGTCATCCATCCCACAGAATGACCCTTTTTTTAAATTCATTGGAAACTGCAGCCCATGCTGATTAAGAAATGTGCCCAAGCCACACAGTGTGGGTATAAGCTAGGGGTCAGGTCTCCTGGTTTTTATTATGCCTTCAATTCTTCTTTGTAAACCTAAGTGTGCAGATTCTGTCTCAGGAAATTTGGGCTGGAGCCTGAGGTCTCTCACAAGCTCCCAGGAGATGCAGAAGCCACTGGATCACACTTTGAGAATCAAGACACCAAAGGCGTTTTCTGACGATTATACCTAGAATGCACCTAGTACTTCTGCAATTTGTTGCTTTCCTTTTCTTCTTGTCACATATTAAAAAGCTGAGGCTTTAACTGAACTACTTTTATAAGATTTTAAGAACAGAATTTCTGGAAGTAAAATTTTGTTTTCATTAACAGGATAATCAGATAAAACATCAATCAGGATACCTCTTGCTATATGTTATTTGGAAAAACTTTACCTTCACAGTTGAGCCTGTCGCTGCTCAGCTCGTAGCCTTGATTACACTGACAGATGAACGAGCCAAGAATGTTGTAGCATTGCTGAGCACACTGGTTGCTGGCATCACATTCATTTATATCTGCAAGGAAAGGTTTTGAATATATATCTGTATCTATGTATCTGGAGCCGTGTGTCTTTTGTACCCATATCATCTGATGATAAGTAATTCCCCCCTGAATTCTTTGCCCCGCAGAAGCTCACTGAAGAGCATCCATTCAGTTTCATACTTGTTGGAACAACTTCAAAGATCTGTCATATACTCCTTTTAGAAATACCAGAATATTTTTTTATGGAATGACAGTTTGATGTTTGATAAATCTTCCCCAAAGAATTTAATGCTTCTAATAAACATACATTCCAGTATCTATTTTCTTAGGTTGTTCAGTTCAAAAATGCCATCTATAAATAATTGTTATAAGACACTCACACTGATAGCGTCTCTCAGCATGCTGTGGTGAAGAGTTATCTGGGCTATTTATTACTTTTTAAATGGTTTCTGTTAAATTCCATTACAATTATAACATAAGCCTCTGAGACCCATACAGAGTTTTGCAATTCTCTAAGGCACTGAATATTGTGAAAAAGGCAGGTTTTTTTTTTTTTTTTTTTTTGTGCAAGATTCTTTCCACGTCATGCCAATCTTATAATTGTGTGCCGTGACAAAGCATTCTGGAAAGGGAGAGGAAACGTGAAAGAATCTGATGCACTTTTGGTGCAAAGTTTATACTCTCGAACTTCCAGTAACCCCTCTGGCACCTTTTGCATTCTATCACACACTGTTGACTAATTGATGTGCGTATATCAATTGATCTGTAGTTAAAAAATATTTTTGAAACACTCAGAAAGAAGAAATAAAACCAAGGTTAAAAAAGGTTTTCTATTCACATCTTCATATGTTTTAAGAAACAGATTAACTAGTGTCATTAGGGAACTGACAGAAACCAGTTTACTCAGGAGCACAGAAAACCAGAAATCCTGCACCATACCACAGGGCTTCTTCTTGGAGGCAGAAATCAGTCAGGATGACAGTTCCCAAAAGACTTACCTACACAGGTGTAGTTGTTTGCTGCCAACTGAAACCCGGGACTGCACTGGCAGTAAAAGGAACCTGGTGTGTTCACACATCTTTGGTGGCAATATGGAGGCACAGTGCATTCATCTATATCTAAGGGAATGGCACACAAACCAAACTGTTGACGTACCAAATTCTCAGTGGAGATCATCTAGAAAACATATCTGGGGAAGACCTCATTTAAAAAATCACCTCCCTCCCTCCCTCCCACCCTCCCTCTCTCCCACCCTCTTATTGACACTGTGGAATCTGCGAAGGGGCAGGTATCAGCTTACAAAGGCAGAAACTCCAGACAGAAGGCTTTAGACTTCACACCTGGGCTACTAGGGCAAGTGTATGTGATGGAGCTGGTTCTCTCTCTCTCCCTCCCTCCCTCCCTCCCTCCCTCATCTTAAAATTAGTATTATATGTGTTTTAAATATAGTCTGATCATCAGTTAAGTAAGATATTAAGAACAAAGACTGACTGTACACTTATTCAGTGGTGAATAAATGGGGATGAGATGTAGAGAGAGAAAAGTAGTTAAGACCGTTTCACACATATATGAGGAGCCAAAAACTTTAAAATGAGGAAAACAAAAAAAAGAATGAAGTGATACAGGCATAAGAGTAAGAGAAAGCAGCTGTGGCTGTGCTGGGCCGGGGACTGTGGCTAAGTCATTTAAACATTCATATCCCCGTTCCTTCTGCAAACTGTGGCAGGAGGGCTTGCCATGTGTATCTTAGGAAGTTTTGTGAGGGTCAAATGAAAGAACACTGTGGAAGGAAAGGATGCTAACTAAGCAAGTGACCTCTTGAGAATGTCCTGACGTTTGGATGAAGTGTTCCATCCTGTGTCCTTCGTTGATAAATATTTCCAACTATAAAATGCTCAAATGAGAGTTTGCAGAGTAGGATCATATTAGAAGCATAATAAAGTGTCATTACTTCACGACTATACTTTGTGACAATGCTAGCATGGCACGTGTAGTTTAACATGACATTTTGCACGCACAATGCAACACTGTAGAGTGATACCTCCTTAAGATGAAGCAAAATGAACAGAGCTGGGCTGCTGGCTGAACCACTGTATGCGTAAATGGCCTCAGGGAAACCCTAGTTTGCATCTCTGATCTGGCAAGAGTTAGCACAGCATGGGCTTAATTCACAAGCTGCTATTTCTTCTTCCATGATAATTACGCAATAATGTGAATGACAGAATTGTTGGGAGGATCACAGGATACAGACCAGGCAAAGTGCCTGGAGCACGGCAGGTAAAAAGGGAGGAATTTGTGCAAAAAGATGCAAGATGGTTTTGATTTACTGAAATAACTGGTAGGAGAGATATTCACCCAGCCCTTTGTGACTTCCCCAGGGAAGCCTCCTCTCCCACTCAGATCTCATAGTTCATTCTTCCCCGTCTATTCACCTGACCTGCTTTAGACTTCATTGTAGCCCATGGCATTTCTGGACATTGAAGTATGTGTTTATTTGCTTGTCTGTCTCCCTCACTGTTATCCATGGTAAATAAGATGATCAGCTTCCTCCACTTGAGGCAGGGATGAGGGATATTTGCCTGCTTACTGCTCTATGCTTAATCTATGCTCAATGGCATTATCTGATGACTAGAAACCTTCCACTAATTAAGAGCAATTCTTGTATAGTGCTGGTACTTCACATGCCAACCAGGGGCCAGTCCTGTTAGTCAGTTTGCATGAATGGTACTTCCTAATGGCTCCTCGAGAGCCATGATTCTGTGAAATTTGTTTGCCTAATCCTATCTCACAGCACCTAGCATAGCCCCTGGCACGCAGTCAGTCCTCAGTGAATATAGGATAATACATGGCGCCTGTCTTTTCGCACACTTGACATTCACCTTCACCAATCACTGCTTTTTATTAGCATCGCACTTGGTGCTGCAGTTATGTGACCTTAAGAACGCATGCATTCTTCATCTGTCTAAACATTTTACTCCACAAATGAGCAGACTGACAGTGAGAAGGTGTTCAGGGATAGCGACAGTGTTGAGCTGCTCTGAGTGGCCTGCTGACCACTGTGGTCCGTGCGGTATTGGAATAGACTGTAACAAATACAGAAACTTGAAAGTACATGTTTAGCAATTTGACATTACTACATTTTTATTATATGCAACAGAAGTACTGGACTGCAATAGATTGGAAATTTCCAATCCTTAATTGGATAAGGAGGAAGTAACTAATTCTATTTGGATACATCACGGAAGGCTTCTCAGAGGAGGTGACTCTGAGCTGGGATTTGATAACAGGAATTCATGGGGAGAATGTTATCAGAAAGAACAGTGTGCCAGTGTGCTGGAAAGAACGTGTACAGATGTACGGCCCAGCATGTGACACAGAATACGGTGAGGTACTGTGGAGTGTGACTTTCTTTTGGGGATGTTGATGCAACAGAACTGAATGAGGCTCGGTGTGAGGAAGCCCTGCTATGCTCTACTGAGAAATGTAGGTGAGGGGATGTGAGGGCACACACGATCAGATGTGGATTCATCTCCCTGCTTTCTCCTAAAGGGCTGTCTGCCACTCTATGCTCCTTTCTCTTTCAGGATAGTTCACTACTGTACTTTCAGGCGTCCAGTGTTTATTTTCCTGATTGATCCAATGAGCATAGCTTTGGTGTCCGTGGAGTTTTTAAACACTTTTATCCTGCATCACAGCTGCCAACATTACAAACCCCGGTCCCTTTTTGAGTTTGGGCACCTAGACAGAGCTCATGGCAAGCAGAACCAACCAGGGTCCACAAGGAGCTGAGTGCTGACATGCTAATGTCAACAGCTCACATTTTCAGGTGAAAGTCGATGCTGGTTGCCTGTCCCCAAGCCCTCACTCTCCGTTCCTAAGAGAAAAATCAGGCCTTTCCACTGGTCTGTGGTAAGAGGTTAGGTATGTAAATAGATGGGCAGAAGGGGCCAATTACAGAGCTTCATGCCTGCTGCTGGGCCTCTTGATTGAGCCAGAGTGCTGTTTTACCTCACTGCTTGCCAGCTGGCCTCCTCACACTGTGTTCTTCCATTCATTCAGATTGCATGCACAAAGCATCAAGCACGTGGACTGGGCACTCTGTGGGGACTGCGGCATCAGCAGTGACAAGCTGACTTGGCCCCAGCCCTCGGGCAGCTGTGCTGTCTGGCCCTCTCAGATATGGTGCTGCCTCATTTTGCACTTTAAGCACCCAGCAAAGTCTTGCAACACAAAGAACCTTTTGATTCTGTTAGCTCACTGCCCCGATGAGCACAGTCAGCCCCATGGCACAGGACTGTGCACTGTGCTGAGCACTGTCATCCATGGGCTCCCGAGTTAGGACTAGCACCATCTCCACAGGACCAATGAACAAGGTGATACACACAGCCTGAAGGTAACTCTGGTCTCAAATGACTTTATGATAATAGAGTGAGGATTTGACCTCAGCTTTTGCCCCATGCACCCGTCTTCTGTTCCACTGTGTGGCAGGAAATGGAGCCCCCATCACCAGTGTGTTAGTGCCATAACCCTTTCTGGTCCCATTCAGACCAGATTTCTTCTTTTGCTTAGTCTATAGTACTTTAGTATTCTGGATCTGCTCAATCTTTAAGGTATGTCTTGCGAGCTGGAAAACCGATTGGTAGTCAATGAAAAGAAAAAGCAATCATTAGTATTTTAGTATTCCGGATCTGCTCAATCTTTAAGGTATGTTTTGCGAGGTGGAAAATGGATTGGCAGTCAATGAAAAGAAGAAGCAATCATTAAGTATCCTTCTCCAAGTAAATACGAGGGTTTTGTTTTGATGCCTAAAGATGCTCGAGACAAGACTCTGTTACTGTGCCGAGGGACTTACCTACACACTGCTCGCCTCGCTTCTGATACCCTGGAGGACACTGACACGTGAAGGAACCACGTAAATTGATGCATACTTGGTCTGCTCTACAGTTGTGGGTCCCTGCAGTGCATTCATCGATGTCTGTGAAAGACACAGTGCAGAAAGACTTTCAGTTGTGTGTGAAGATGTCGATGCTCCCTCTATTTTGTTGCTTCGTTTTTCTTAAAATGGACTTTACTTCCTTCATAAAAGCTTTTATAATGTTGTTCTATTGGTAATGTTTAAAATGACAAATTATTTCAAGTGCTCCAAAAACAATTTCAGAAATAGCATTGCGTGCCTGAGATTTAACAAATGCTGACATTTTGCATGCTTACCTTAGTGCCTTCTGTTTTAGGAAATAAAACATCTCAGCTACAGCTGAAGCCTTACTCCAACTTCTTCCCTTTATGTTATCACTCATCACTCTCTTAGTAGGCCTGGACCCTTCCCTGAGACAGTTTTATGCATTTCCTAGACAGAATGCACTCTTTAGGATATACAACACTGTTTTATGTGTTTTAAAATTTAGGTCATAGCTGAGTCTGGTGACATAGGCCTGTATTCTTAGCTACTTGGAAGGTTGAGGCAAGAGGATCCCAAATTCAAGTCCTGCCTGAGCAACAGAGAAAGTTCAAGTCTAGCCTGGGAAACTCAGTGAGTCTATCTCAAAACGAAAAGCCAAAAAGAGCTTGGAGATAGCTCAATGGTAGAGCACTTGCATTTCATGAATGAGGCTCTAGGTTCAAGTTCAGTCACCACTCTAAAACCACAGAGAGAGAGAGAGAGAGAGAGAGAGAGAGAGATGGAGAGAGAGAATGAAGTTTAGTTGCACACTTGCTTTTGTTATGCAATGTGCTACATTTGAGAAAGTTTCTATTTACATATCTCTAAGAATCTGTCCAAAAGCTGGGTTTATTCAAGCCTTGATATCACATATTCTTTGTTACTGGAACTTTTTTTTTTTTTTGGTGTTTTTCTCAAATGGTAGAGTAACAGTAAGCGTAAATTTTTCATTACACATTTCAAAGTGGAAAGGATTGTGAGCATATTCCTCCAGGAGAGGCAGGTTGGTAAAAAAAAAATACATATTTTCTCAAAGCATTTTACTTCTGGGACTAATTGCCAAATGTGTCTTAAGGAGTATGCAAGTCACAGTTGTGGATAAAGGAAAAAAATGCTCCATTTTAACATAAAGCCAGTTTTTTTTTAAAAGTCAATCAAACCATTAAAAGCTCTATCAAAACGTGCTATGAATTTATGTGTACATCCACATTTATGACGAAATTCACTTTTGCCTTATCTGTAGCACCTTTGTCGTCATTCAAATCTTTCATGTCATGAAGCTAAATAAAACAAAAGCACTACACAATTCAGGCATTTCCTAACCACTGAAGACTAAACTCCACTAAAAATATCATAAAACATGTAATTCCTAGATGACCAATTTTGCATGAAAACTGAGACACACTTGGGGGTCTTAGATCATCACTGCAGTAGACCCAGGGTGGTGCTTTAGAAGAAACAGTTGGCCAAGAATCAATAATAAAAAAGTCACCAGCAATCAGTATTTATTCTGCTTCCTGTTTTTCATCTAGAATCAGAGAGTGACCCTTTGTGTGATTTTGCTTCTTATTTTTCTGTAATTTCAAGAACTGTTGGCACTTAAGCTATGCAGTGTCATGACATAAGAAGTCCAGTTCATGAGGGGGGCACCCTGACTGCTTTGCTTAGCTGGGTGTGATACGAGAGATTCTTTTCACAGAAACGAGGGAGAAAAGGAAAACACTCCAGAAGTGTGTCTGTGCACTGGCGAAGAACCTAGTAAGACTTATTTTTCACATACTTCTTTGAACCTGATTTTAATCTTTCAGTAAATATTTTTTTGCGAATTTCTGCTTTGTTTTGAAATGTGTATTATTACAGTTACTGCTCTTTTCCAGTCAGTTGGCACAAAGTGTCCTTTTCAGGTGGAGGCAACCTTGCTTGCTATGAAGTTATCTGCTCTCTTTTGAGCCTCATAGGCACTGGATGAAAACCTTTCTACTGGGGATTCTTTAGCGCTTTCTAACCCGCTAATGCAGAAATGACAGCAAAATTCCTATTGTTTTATGTCAGAAGCACTAGCTAGCATTTGCAGTGATAACAGCCCTGAGAGATAGGTCCTGCTAGGCTCTGATGTGGCAAGGTTCTCCGTCCTTGCTGGCAGAAGATCAAGGACTTGGGCTGGCCACTGTATTTCTAAGGGAGGCCTCGCCAGTAACTGAATCTTCTCCTTTTGAGACATCTCTGCGAACTGCCACCACTCCATCACATTCCTGATGGCCTGCTATTTCCTTCCTATCTTCTCATTCATATGGAAGTGTCTTTGATAAATAGGCTAACATTGCCACTGGGATCAATGTATCCATAAATATGTTTTAGACATACAAACCTGTGCTGTTCCTTCTTAAGAATAAGGTCAATTTAGCTTCTGAGGGTTTTTTTAAATAAAAATATTTGGTGAGATAATTTGCTAAAATCAAACCCCCCAAATACTACTACCTCCACTGCAACAATATTACTTTTCTCTTCTCTACCGAAAACCAAAGAAAGTTGCAATAAGACTTGCCTCATCTAACTGGTTAGTACACTTCCCACTTACCTAGACTTAAACAATATTAAAAAAGGAAACTCTGCAATGAGGAAGTGGCATTAACTACATTCCCATTCACAGCTTCTCTGACCCATAATGTAGAGCATTTATCCTCTCCTTCACCTTTAGCAGGTTATTTATTTAACATTAAAAAAAGTTTTTTATGTGTAGGAGTATATTGCCTGCATGTGTGTAAATGCACCTGTGTTGTGCAATGCCCACAGAAGTCAGAAGAGGGCACTAGTTTCCCCTGGAACTGGAGTTATGGACAGTTGTTAGCTGCTATGTGGGTGCTGGGAATCAAACCCAGGTCCTCTGCAAGAACAGTCAGTACTCTTGTCCATAGAGTCATCGCTCCAGCCCCTAGCAGGTTATTTAATACTGACATAAGAAGTCCAGTTCATGAGGGGGCTGACCTAACTGCTTCACTTAGCTGGGTGTGATATGAGAGATTTTGTTCACAAAAACGAGGGAAAGAAGAAGGAAAACACTCAAGAGATGTGCATACTGACAGACTGAATTTCTTTGAATGATCTTCAATTACAGTATCTATTTATTTAAATGACACAATGCTATGATTTTGAAAATTATACCTTGAAATACCATTATTGTGTATTTATACATCCATAGTCATATTAAAACTTTTATACATTGCTAAACTCGTCTGTCTTTTCTATTCGTATGTGCTTCCATTTATCACCGGCACATCAGAAGGGTCAGTGTGATACTATACTCCTTCCATGGTATGCAGGCAAAATTAGCTTCCTGTATGTGTATAGGAGGCTGTCTGCATGCTCAAAATGATGCTTTACTCAAGAGGGAAATGACTTAGGTCAGTCACAATTTTCCTGACAATCTAAAAACAAGCAGTCTGGGGAGAGGAATTTTTGTTTTGTTTTTAAATTATCTATCATTTATCCTTGACAGTTAAGCTCCGTATTTTTGACTACCATAGTGCATAAAATGTGATGAGTTTTAAATAAATGTTTGTTTAACAAATTGATGAATGGACCTTTATTGTCTACTGAGACTTGGTGCCCAGAATTTTAAAAAAGTGAGACCAATGTTTTAGATTATGAAAAGAAAGGCAGGTACTTCCTAAGGCAGAGTAACAGGCAAGGTCTGAGGAACACAGCCCAACAGGAAATTTGCCTCCAAGTGGGAAGAGAATAATGCAATGGAGGGCAGGTGTTCAGAGTCTGTGAGGGGTGAAGCATTACCAGAAATAGGCAGCCTTGAAGCTTGGCAGAGGTGGCAGCCTCTGAGCTACAATGTGAAGGTGCCATGTAGGGATTCGAGGTAAAGGGAAACTGCTCCCCAGAAGGCAGGTGCCCCCAGAAAGACACCCTGCTGCTTTGCAGAAAGTAGGAAAGTGCTGGTCAATTCTACTGCAAGGGTTGTGAAAAGCCTGGTGCTGCATCCAGCAGAAAGTGCTCATCGAATGCTTGCTCAAGTCACTCGTAGAATTCAGAGTCTTCAAGATGGGATTGGAGAGCCTGCACTGAACACATGCAAACTGCTCTGAACAATGCAGCCATTGGCCTGATGTTAACATCACTAAAAACAAAATAACACACTATTAGACTATGCTTCCTAGAATACCACAACCCTCTTCCCTGTTCTAATATGTTAAGAATAGCTAATGGCATTATTTAGTGATTCCCTCATTTTAAAAAATATGCCCACAGTCTCCATCCTAGTGATTTATATGACTGCAGGTCCCTCTTTTGTTGACTTTGGCAACCTTAGTAGCTTTAAATAATCCAGTCTAATCTTTGGTGAGCACTCTATCACCTCCCCTCCCCCACCACTAATGCAGTGCCGTCAACCTTCCCTCCCCCACCCATCGATGGCACTGCTCATCTGAGAGTCTCTCAGAGCTAATGCAGGAATGGTGACCATCTCACTGCGGTGTCCATTAGGCCCTGCTTGGGGCTTTGTTCTCTGTTTCTGGCTCCTTCCCTGCACTCTGACTCATATTTCCCAAATCCCTGACTCATGCTGCTTTGCTGCGTTCTCTCTCTTATGCAACAGTTTAATCTCTGCAATGTTCTTTCCATAATTTGATAACTTCCCACAACATGGAGTCACTGTGGTGTGTTTTTATGGGCAAAGATAATCTGCATCTTGAGTGCTGGTTAGTACTTTCAGCTTTTCTAATTTGGGTTGCTTTAGTTGAAGACCTGATTCCCAGCTACTTTTGAACAAGCCACCACAGACTAGCAGAGGGAACATGCTGACACAGGAGGAAGGGGATTGAATGACTTTGATCCTGTTACCAGCTATGTGATATAGAGCTGTGGTATCAATGAATCATTTTCAATAGAAGGAATTCACTGAAAGGCCTTATAGATTTGTAGTATTCTCTTTATTTTCAAAATAATCCTAAAAGATAGACAACTGTATTAACAAGAATCGAGGGCACTGTTTTTCAACTTCTACTTTATATAGTAATGGCTACTGTAAA